GACAAATATAACAAGATATTTCATCTCAGTGCATATATTCTTATCCAAGTAGCAAATTTTCTCTTAAAATAAAATACCTGCAGATGCTTTTGAATTGTGTTAAAAATGAATTGTAGCCCATTAATAGTTCTTATTTAATTCCATGCATTATTCGCTTTCTTGTTTGCTCTAGGCAATGCAAAATGACTTTCTCCAAAAGGTATGGTAGTTAGCAGAAAAATTATAAACCAAATTTGTCTCGACCACTTTAGGAACTTAATAATAAATAATCCACATCTTACACATGACACAAGAAAATGATCTGAAAACAGTGAAAAGACACTTTAAATAAACCCAGTTTTCCAACTTTAATTTGGGATTGCCCTAAAGCTCTTGGTAGAGATGAGAAGAGTATATTCCCAAAGGTGACTTATCCTTTAAAGAATGCTAAATAGTGACATACTTCAGTAGATGAACTTCTACAGGATTTTGATTTGGGGTTTGGTTATCTGGGGACCATATTGTTAGAAACATTTCCTTTTCTCTCAGAATGTATTTTGACTCTCTCCAGGAACTGGTTATGCTCTAAAAATTGTGTGTACATATAGACTTTAACTTCAGCTTTCATCAAAACTTTATAGTTTTTAAAGGTATAATTCATATAAGCTGGTATTTCTTCTGAGGACATAACTGTTCCCCTCCTTCCAAGCATCTGTCATCAGATAAAAAAAGGGGTCAGAAAGATTTAACTAACAGCCTTTAAAGGACCATGTGTGTTATTCTGGGTAGGGAACACTTCTGTTCACAATTACTCTTGGTGAGGATGATCAAAATATGTGATAAAGCATATGGCTCAAATTTTGGTAGTTTTTACTGCTACAGAAGAACAACTCTTTAGTGTTTACTGTTTAATCACTTCCTTTATTAAAAATGACTTTAAACACTTATAGCTAAAACATTTTTTTTATTTAAAACAGAATTTAAAGATATGTAGAACTTAGGACTATATCAATTACTTTCATTTTTTTATTTACCAGTTGTTACTAATTCTTTATTAGATTATTAGTTTAAGGACTTGGAAAGGTTGTAAATCACCCTCACTCATGTTTGCGATGGGAACTTTTATGTCAAACGCACACACCATTTTTGTTGTTTTATACTTCTTTTAATAATAAAGTATTATAAACTGTTTTACTTCAAATAATGACACTTCTCAGCCAACATAGACCTTATATGTACTTACTCTTTTAATTCAGGGAACTGAACTATAGTTTCTATTTGTCTTTACTTTTTTTTTTTTTAGTATAACAGCAAAGCCACTATGTCTTCTAGCTGTAAGACAGACCACCTCCCCCCCTCAAAAAACAAGAACAAAAACAAAAAACAAAACAAAACAAAAAAACTGGGATAGCAGTCTGGTATTATTCTTGCTCCTAGAAGCACTGAGATTTACCTGGGCAGCAAATTTATCTCCATGGTTACTCTGCCAACCCTTCTCCCTTTGGCTTTAGAATGTTTTATATAAAATGAAAGGCCTCCAACATTGCTGCCTACATAGTTTTTCAGATTCTTTCTATAGTTTCCCATCCTTTTTGAATATTTTAGAATCTAATCATTGGACATTCTTGCATATACAGACGGAGATTTGACATCTTTTTATTCGCTCTGAGATCATTTGACAATAGTTATTGACAAAAGTACAGATCTAACCACCCAAAATGCAAGCCACTGCTCAGTACATGCAGCTCAGTGTTACAATGCTCTTTCACCCACATCTGTAAATTTGTGGGATTTAAAGCCTAAAAGAACTGTTAGAGATCTGCTGGTGAGTTAACATTACTTTACAGATGAAGAAAAATGCAGGAATCATAACTATTTAGCATTACAATTTCAATTAACATGACAATGTTTCATTAAAAACTTCATTCATTCACCAGACATTTGGAGAGTCCCTGTCTGGTGTGGATCCTGGAGCTATAAAGCATAACCCCCCCCCTCCCAAATCTGCTCCCTTACAGGAGGGCCTGAATATATCTCCAGTGCTAAGGCTTGCTGAAGGTGTTAGTATTAGAGTGTTTATTTGTTTAGCATCTCTCCTTTTTTTTTTTTTTTTTGTCTGTCTATGGGAAAGAATGTAATCTTTTTAGGATAGGACTTGTTAAATTAAAATTAAATTACTTGTAGGTGTCAAACAGACCGCAGAGATATGAGTGAAACAACAGGGAGCGATGAGGATTATAGTGTGTTGGAAGCATTAAAATTATTTTTTTAAATCTCCATGTTTTAAAGTGTAAAAAGATAGTTTAAAGCCAAAATGATAGTTTTGACAGATATTCAAATATATAGTTTAAGTAGGAGGGAGACATAGTGGATTTTTATTATATAGGGAAGTGATAAAAGATTTATTTTTTAAAAAATGCCATGAGGGCCTGATGAACAGAGATTACAGAAGACAAAGAGATATGAGGCCAAAAATTTGTGAAAAATGTTATTTGAAGACGGGACAAGAAAATGCTGACTTAAATGAAAACATTTCGGTTACTTATGAAAACAAGGTTTTCTCTATATAATGAAACAATAGAAGGATTATTGAATCATTAACAAAGTTACATCCCATCTTAAAAAGCCAAAAAGACAGTGGTGATTTTTCAGGGAACTTTCTAGTTCTTGATGCTCTGAAGTATAGTAACTCAAGCAAAAATATTTATGGAAAAATAAGCAAAATACTTTGGGTGGTTAGATGGGTTGGACAATTGTTATGGAACTCCTTTATGTCCCTAGGCAGGGGTTTGTGTAGTAACATAATCTTTGCAACAATTCTGAGTAGGTTTTAGTTATCATTTTAATAAATGTGAGGACATTCTACATTTTAGACATTGTTCTGTGTACAGTTTTAAATAAGATTAATTAATTCATTGAGAATTTACTACATTTTAGCATATTTCTAAGCACCTGGGATAAGTTAGGGAACAAATCCTTGTCCTCCATGGATCTTCCACTGTAGGTGAGGAGACCGGCATTATACGTGATATAAAGTCAGGTGGTAGTGAGAAAATAGGGGAAAGATTGAAGTTGGGTAGTCTAGAATTTGAAAGTCAATGAGTATGTAATATCTGAGGAAAGTAGAGTATGAAGAAATGAGACCATTATACAGACATAAAGGAAGAAAATTTTCATAGTCCTTAAGGTAATAGAACTTGGAATGGAAGGAGGAAGTGGTGAAGAGAGAAATTTGTAATCACTAAGAGGTTGTGAGTTGGGTATTGAACACTTGTCATAACAAAGTGATATGCTAGGTTTTGACCTCCTGGATTTGAGATTTTGGCGAGACACCCCAGTGTAGCTCTTTGCATAGGTCAATATTTCTCAAACAGTGGTAGGTGTCAGAATCATTTTGGGAACTTGACAAGCATACTAAAGTCAGGACCTATTTCTTCACCGAGTCTGGGCTTCTATGTTCCTTATTAGATCACCAGATTATTCTGACACAAAAAGTTTGTGACCCTTTGATTTAGATAACCAAAAGTACACAACTGAGAAGAGGGATTGAAATAAGGGTTGGAATTTATATTGCGGCATTAAAAAAAATTAATTAAAACTTCTGGATAGATCATCTCTTCCAGATCAAGAATATAAAGGAGGAGAAGGAGAAGCCATAGCACTATGAGTAGTTAGAGATATGTAGTTGATAGGAAGACAAGGGAAGAACCTGAAGGAAAAACATAAATTATTGAGCATAAGGGAAACATTGAGAACTTATTTCCCTTTAATTAAATGTGTGTTCCATGGAGACAGAAATCTCAGGGTTTCCTTATACCTGGCCTTATACCTACACTTAATAGGTACTTAATCTATATTTATTTATTGAATGAATGAGTCAATGCAGTATGGATAGTTATCAACTAAAGTTAAAGATTTAGGAGAATCTAGGGAATCTTTTCAAACACAGTACCCTGAGGTCAGGAGGGCTGAAACTTATGAGCTCACTAGTAGATTTAGAAGGACGCAATCACTAATTAAAGAGATGGAATAATTAAGTGCAAGCACTCATCTTGAGCTGTTGGTGAACAGTGTAAATATAATGAAGTATATTTTTATATACACATGTAAGATGCAAACATATGCATGTGTATACATATGTATGTTTATATAAAAGTACAGATAGTTAGCTCCAGAGTCTTCATCATGTCCTGTGTAGCTGCCCCCAAAGTCTGTAAATCTTGCAGAAAGATGCATCTCTCAGGAATCTTGCAGACTATCTTTGGGAGGTGGGTGCACTGACAAAGGCAGCAAGATGCTAGGAACTTGTCTCCACTTAACTGCATAATTAACTTGCCACCCTCAGTTTTTTGGTGGTTCTTTGCTTTGCAAGAATAGATATAATTTCTAGAAATGGAAAAAATGTAAAATCCTATTTTAAGATTTGTTAAAAGCTTTTTTATTCTAGTCTTACATTTCCTTTGAAAGGATAATTTTGTGTGTGTGTGTGTGTGTGTGTGTCACAAAGCAGGCATGCTTATTAGCCTGCTCTCTGGGATCTACAGTTTCCAGGATGAAGCATCTAACTTTTCTTGTATTTTGAAATGTCACGTCCAACTGCTTCTTAATGAAGATTCATTTATCCTTTTCACACTGTTACGTATGGTCTATGGAGGATACACTTCTCTCAGTCCACATGAGTAGAGCCCATTACTGCTAATGGAAATTTTGCACATGCTGGTGAAGGTGAAGGCATCAAAAGAATCTACTTGTAGACATTTTTATTTGGCTGCCTTAAGATTTCAATGATGATCTCTTTTTGCCCTCCAAAAGGGGCTGGGTGCTGGGTTCAAGGTTATAATTTTAACAGGTATAAGTATTTCTTTCCTCTGTTTCAGCTGAGAAGTTTTGAGAGTGAAATATTCACAGCCATTAAGAGACCTCCAATTTAATTTCTCATCATGCTTATTCTGTAGTTCACATTAAGTCCAAAGTACAGAAGGAACTGAACAAGTGGACTTGTAGACATCAGATAGCTGACTATGGTGTTGGCCATGGCCTCTCAGGATGGTCAGAACTTCTTCCAGCCTTTCTCTTCCTGGATATCTCGGGTTTATGAAGCTCTCCAGCAAGCAGGAGGTTCCTTATCTGCTTCGCTGATTAACTTAAGCAAACAAGACTCTAAATTGAGTGACAAGCTAGACCAGGACTTAGATGATATTCAGATTCAGGAAACTTACTTTGAAGATGAAGAACATGGCAATACTTGGAGTCAAGAGGATGCAAATTCCTTGTTTTTTGAAGTGGATCACTTCTCCTGTTGTAATAGTGATTTGCAGGACTCTGCCCAAAGTTCAAGTCCCAGACTTAGCCAACATGCAAAGGACTCATGTTCTATAATATCTCAGTGGTCCAATCAGAGCTTTGATGACCAAATGTCACCACCTGTGCTTTCTTCTGTTGCTGAGGAAGAACGTCACCTTGAAAAGCAAAGGAGTGGCCTTCAACACGGCTTTGACAGTCAGCTCTCTGGTACTTTAGAAAATGTTAATGGAAAAAAGCAAGGTAAGCTAGCCAGTGATCATTTGCTCTTGGTTCTTCACAAAGGATGTTTCTACTCATTTTATTTTGACTTGTTTTAGTTATCATATGGATTTTATTTTTCTCTCTCTTACATTTTTCCATATACTGGATTCTTACTGAGAAATGCAGTCCTTAGGAATATTTTCAATATATAAAACTTTTGAAGGTTCATGCTTATGAGCTCCATATTCTAAAACAACAGCTCTGAGCAAGTGGAATGGTGAAAATAAGCTTGTGGGTTCTGTTTGAGAAGACCCTTGTACATATGTCATGTTTAAAAATATCTTTTAAAATGTTCTCTTTTTTTTCACTGGGTTAAAAATCTCTAGATGTTACTATATTATTCAGTGTGAAATCCTGTGCAAAAAGCCATACTTGTTGCAAAATTTTAGTTGATAACACTCCAAGAACACTTCTCACAGTGTTTCACTGGGACATGATGTGAGATGACAGTAGATAGGAAATTTCTGAAATAAGAAGAGCTTGCTTTTCTTTTAGCCTTGAATGGAAAGTAAACTGCCTATAGAGCTTTATCCTGTCAGAACACAGCATATAATGGCCTTCAATAGATGCATAATGAATATGGTGTGAAAATGTAATTAATTCTGTAAAAGTAGCTGTAGTATGTTCAGGCTTGAATTTCTCATGCTTATAATGCTCTAAGACTGAAGTAGAACATTCCACCTACTTCAGGAATAGAGGTGCATGATACGCCAAGAAAGGTGTTTGGTGTGTACATGTGATGTGTTGTTGTAATGTATATATAGGTCATGCAGACTATTGGATCAGATTTATGCAATACAGTCTTGAAGTCATTAATCCTTTTCTTATTGGAAGGATCAGATTTTTCTGGAATACCTGATGGTGATGATTTTTTAGTGATTCCTCTTAGTATTATCAATTTTTAGGGATATGTTTTATAAAGCTTTGTTGAAAAAGGAAATATTATTCCATACTGTTTGTAATAATGCCTTCTTGATATTCTTAGTCAAATTAAAATAAAACTGAAACTGGTGAAAATAAGATAGGCTGATTCTTTCTGAATCTGATAAACTATAGAAGCAATTTTAAGTCCTTAAAAATTATTTGTAAGGACAATTCTAGGAATATTTGGGCTACCAATAGGGTACCTTTATTTGACTTGAAATTTCCTATTTTAGAGAAGTCTTGCTAAAGTTGAGGTGTAGTTCAGATTGTTAATATGGATGGATTTATCTTCTTTATTACTTAAAAGTAGAATTTTAAAGTTTTTTATCATTGTTGCCATACTCTTAAAGCAATAAGACAATTGTGCTCTTGTGTCAGTTCAGATGTTATTTCACTAGATTGTGGCCTCTCAGAAGGCGGGGCCATGCCATTCATATCTGTATCATTAATATCAAGCTACCGTTAGGTATATAATAGGACATCAGACAGTAAAGATGTAGTCGCAACAAGGAAAACTAAAAACTCAAAGAGGTAGACGTGATTATATTCCCATTTCATGTGTGAGAAAATTGATGCTTAAAGAATTTGAAAATAGACCCATGATTCACAATTAGAAAGATACAGATGCTAACTCTAGAGTAACAAAAATATTCTCACCCCTTCTTACAGATATAGTTTACATGCAATAAAATTCATCCTTCTAAGTGTATAGTTCTGTGAGTTTTGATAAAGAGTGTTATAACCACCATCACATTCAGGTATAAAACCATTTTTTTTTAAGATTTATTTATTTATTCATATAGAACTGGGGTACAGGCCAGAGACTCGGAGGGCGAGAGGATTCACCAGAGATAGAGCAGGGAGCAGAACAGGCAGATCGACGAAGTGCACTGCTGAGGGGAGCAGTGGGTGGGTTAGGAGAGGTCTGCCTCGCCATGTGGATCTCCTCCTGGGCAGGCAGGAATTGAACTCATGCAGAAGTGGCTTAAGCTTCTTAGTGCTGTGCTTTAAACCGCTGCACCACCAGGGAGGTATAAAACCATTTTATCAGCTCAAAAATTTCTGACAATTTCCCTGTAGTCATGTTGAATAAAGGGGAAAGAATGTGGGTATTTTTACTCTAAATCTTTATTCTAAATTTAAGTGGGAAAGTTTTGTCTTTCACTATTACTTGGTAGGTATAGATTTATGTAGCAGTTCTTTTTTTATACTCAAGAACTTCCTATTCCAATTTGCTGACAGTTTTTAATCAGAAAAGATGGTGAATTCTGTCAATAGTTGCATCTATTGATAATGATTTTTAATTTGTCAAATAAATAGCATGGATTAATTGATTAATTTTTGAGTATAAAACTGGTTGCACATCCCTGGAATAAAAACCTATTTGGTCATGTTATATTATTCTTTTCATATGCAGCTGTATTTGATTTGCTAGTATTTTATTCAATAATTTTTACAAATTTGTTTTAATTTGGGATACAGTCATAATAATTTTAATATTTTGCAATATCTTTCTGTTTTTGGTATCCGGATAGCATTGGTTTCATAAGTGAACTGTGAATTATTTCTCCTTCCTACTGCCTGGACAAATTTGTGTTAAATGAGTAATATTTATTTCTTAAGTGTTTGCTAGAATTTCTCAGTGAAGCCATCTTAGTCTGGAGGTTTTATTTTTGTGGGAAGATAATGAAATACAAGATAAACTTAAAAATATGCATCGTTATTCAAGTTGTCTTTCTTGAATCATTTGGGCTGTTCTTGACTTCAAAGATTTAAAAAATTTTGTGTGTGGACATAATATTTCTGTGTATGTGTGTGCTTTTAATGTATATAGGCTTTATAGTAGTCTTCTTTTTTGTTTCCTGATGTGATGTTTTTGGTTCCTTTCTTCTGTGGAGAGGGTCTCACTGGGTAGAAGATTTATCTGTCTTTTATCTGTCTTTCTGTCTGTCTATCTCTGTCTATTATCAATATATAGACCTATATCATCTTTTTCAAAGAACTAGCTTTTCAATACTAATTTCTCTCTATTGTTTTTTGGTTCCTAGTATCACTGCTTCCTACATTATAAATTATTTTCCTACCCTTTCATTTATTTATAATTTAGTCTTTTTATAGTGGAATAATTTAATATACACATTGTCTTCTAAGCTCAGCTTTAGTACATCCAGAAATATTAATATATTGTTTTTGTTTTTCCTCTTAAAAATATTTCCTAATTTCTCTTTGACTTTCCTTCTTGATGAATATTTTTAAGTATGTTGGTTAAAATTCAAATACTAGGAATATTCTAGATAACTTTTGGTTACCAATTCCTAGACTAACTAATTGTGTTTAAATATTTTTGTTTTAGTTTTAAAAATTGAGTTTTTTTTAAATCATCTTGAAATACATTCTAATTTGTTGAATATTTCATATGTATTCAAAAAGACTACTTTTTTATTATTGGGCACAATGTTCTATAAATTAGTTCAAGTCGTTTGAGGCTGTTTTTCAGATTTTCTGTATATTTACTTATTTTAGCCTACTGATTTTGTTCTGTTGATTTCTGAGAAGAGCTGATATTTCCTTCCTGTAGTTGTGAATGTGGCTAATCTTTTCAGTTCTATTAATTTTGCTTCATGTAGTTTGAAACTATGTTGTTAGGTGAACACACATTTTAAAAATATGTCTCCTTGTCCTCCCTGGTGGCGCAGCGGGTTTTAGGACGCAGCACTACAAATGAGCTCCAGCTGCTTCAGTGCTCATTCAATTCCTGGCCTGGGAGCTGACCCACATGGCATGGCAGACCTCTCCTGACCCGCCCGCTGCTTCCCTCAGCAGTGTACTTCATTGATCTACTTGTTCTGCTCCCCACTCTGTCTCTGGTGAATCCTCTTACCACCCCTACTCCTCTGGCTTATATCCAGTTCAGTTCATATTAATAAATCTTAAAAAAAAAGTCTCCTTTGATTAATTGATTTCTTGTTCATTATGTAATCAATCCTCAAAAAAAAAAAAACCCTAATATTTCTTGACCTGAAGTCTACTTTGATATTAATATGATTACCACAGTATTTTTTTTTTTTGGATAGTGTTAACGCTATGTTTTCTTTTCCATTTTCAACTTTAAATATCTATATATTTATAATGGGATTCTTGTACTTGGCATATAACTGGGTATTAAATTTTTAACTAATCTGAAAATCTCTTACTTTTCATTCTTAGCTTTATTTAATATAATCATTGATATTGTTGAATTAAGAGATGTCATCTTGTTATATACTTTGCTGTTTATTTCATCATTTTTTAATTGTCATTTTTTTCTGTCTTTTTTTTTTCTGTGTTCTGGATCAAACATTTTCATTATTTCACTTTAATGCTGGCCTCATTTATACATCTTAAAATGTTTAATGATCACCCTAAAAGCTAGATCATGCATCTTTAATTAATCTCAGTATGTGTTGAATAGTATTGTAACAACTGTAGGTGCAGTTTGATGTTACAACAGTACACACCCCAATTCTCCTTCCTGTTTTATTGTAGTCACATATTTTTTACATGTACAGTAAGTCTTCAGTAAATTGATACTGCATTAATGTAGATGGCTGACTTATAATGATTAAAATACAAAGTTTTATATTTAATTCTTGTATGCCATTGAAAACACTATTTTACCTTTCATGCTATATGTACTAATGAATTTCCTTAGGTTTTTTTTTAATCTGAAAAAAAAGTTCATTTATTCTAAAATATGCTTTAGTTAGATAAAGAATTTTGAATTGATAGCTATTTTCTTTCATTACGTTAATGGTGTTATCCTACTGTCTTATTTTTTTTTAAGATTTATTTATTTGTGCATACAGAATTGGGGTACAGGCCAGAGGCTCAGGGTTGGTGAGAGGCTTCACCAGAGACAGAGTGGGGAGCAGAACAGGCAGATCGATGAAGTACACTGCTGAGGGGAGCAGCGGGCGGGTCAGGAGAGGTCTGCCTCGCCATGTGTTCTCCTCCGGGGCAGGCGGGAATCGAACTCATACAGAAGCGGCTTTAGATTCTCAGTTCTGTGCTTTAAC